GACCACAACACAGTGAAATGTACATTAGACAAGATGCATGTCTGCCTGAGTTTGTGAAATACATAGGAAACTTAAATTTGCATTGAACCGTTATTCTTACTTCTTACAACGTTAATTTAACAGGACATGAAGCAGTTAAGAATGAAATATTCTTAAGAACATTTTAAATCAAAACATAACTAAAAGTTATGAAGGCAGGGAACAATGTTACGGTGTACAGATATTGAGAAAAATACTGGTATACAGGTGAACTGAGCAAGTGACACATACCCAATATTGAATGCGGGGGGTTGTGCAAAGTTGAATCCACCTCCAGGTGTTCCTGACTGGGGCGCAATGGAGGTGTTGGCAGAGGGGGCAGGAGATGCTGCCGATCCCGCTCCAAACGTAAACACACCTGAGGTGTTGTTTGTGGCTCCGAATGCACTGGCTCCTCCAAACTGAAAGCCTCCACCTGATGGATTAATACACATTTTTAACTAAACTATACTTTCACCTTCATGATAAATATAGCTTCATATTGAGAGGATCAGAGAACCAGATAGTTGACTATACAGTTACAGTCACGCACCTGGTGCAGAATTAGTAGTTGCCCCAAATGCAGGGGTGGAGTTGGCCTGCTGACCGAACACAGGGGCAGCGTTGGGTTTGGCTCCGAAGGCCGGGGTCTGGGAAGGCGTGGCTGTGAAAGGGGACCCGAAGGATGAGCCGAATGAAGGAGTCTGGTTGGCCCCGAATCCACCAGAGGAGGCTGTGCTGAACGCAAATGGAGAGGGAGCTGCAGACGGAGCTGTTTAATGAAAAAAAGAATAGATTTAAGATACATGGACAGATTATGATAAATATAAAAAGATATATGTAAATCTTTCACTGTTGTTACTCAGGCCTAAAACATTGTGTTCAAGCCAACCACCTTGAGCAAATACAGACCTGAAGATGAAGCAGCAGAGGGTGCCGCTGCTCCGAAACCAAAGGATGGAGCGGCAGCAGGAGGAGGAGCAGCACTGGCAGGAGCACCAAAGATGAAGGGCTGAGCTGGGGCTGGAGCAGGAGTAGAGTTCAGAGGGGCAGCTGACGGGGCAGGCGGCTGGCTGTCCTGCCCCGGGCCGAAGACGAAGGCTGCTTTAGCTGGAGGAGCGTCATTGGAGGCTGCAGCAGGCTGACCAAACATGAAAGTGCTGGGGCCAGCAGAAGGAGCTGGAGCCTGAGTGGAGCTGCTGATGCTACTGCTGCTGGTGGTGGTGGTGATGCCGCCAAACAGACTGGGGGCCGGGATGGAGGAGGATGTGGTGGAGTTGGTGGTATTAGTGGGATTACTAGCCATAAAGGAAAATGCTGGTTTTGGAGCAGCAGGAGAATCTGTACAGGGAACAAACGGTTGATTAAAAAACAGTTGTGATAATGATTAGAGTGCGCCAATGTTACGCAAATCAATTCACTGGTTACAGAGAATACTACCTAGGCCGTATTTAGGTCAAATCAGGTGTTAGAGGTGTGGCGAATAATCGCAGGTTCATGTGGCAATGTGTGTCTGTGGGACGGGGGTGTGTTTATTTGTGCTTAAGGACATAACACAGTGAAACAATCAGAAAGTAACGTTTAATTTCTCTGATTCACCAATTTTCTTGCTACCACTGCTTTCTCTGTCATTCAATGTCTATGTAGCTTGAACCACAACAAAAAAAGTAAAAAATAAAACTTTTTATTTTTTAGATTCACTGGCTTTGTCGCTACAACTGCTTACTCCCTATGCCATTCGACCAGAGCTGAAAAGATCACATAGCACATGTACAAAAACGCACCAAGTGAACTTATGTTGGGAGAGCAGACAGAGTCACTGTGGCAGTCCTCAAACATCATACAAATAAATTAGAAGAGAGCATGATTACACCTTGCACTGCATGTATCAGCTCTTTATAGTGATGAGACTTTGTGCGTGTTGCCAAACTACTGTACAATTTGTTTTGCACATCTGGATCAACTTCAACCTACTGTGTGTGTGTGTGTGTGTGTGTGTGTGCGCGCCTACACAGCGTCTCATGCAACAGACAATTATGCGTTTACCTTTGGGATTTTCCCCCACTTTACTTATTCTGAAAAGTTGACGGAGAACAGAGCTTTTTTTTTTTAAACTTGCAAACTACAACCAGTCTGATCTGTTAGCAATTCAGTAGCTCCACTACAGCAGCTGGGAGATAAATGCCTTGTTCAAAAGCACCTCAGCATCCAGGAATCAAACCAGCAACCTGTCACAAGCTTGCTTCTAACATTTAGGCTACCACAAGCTTAACTGATTTTAGGGTTTAGGGGCTTACAATTATATCACAGATGTTATTCTATTGTGTCAAAACAACTACAAAACTGGATTTTCTTTTAAAAGAAATCAGCAAATGAAAACTCATAGAAAAATAACTCATCCAGAGAATGCATAGCATTCATAAGGGAATTACAACTGTGTCAGTGTCCAAACTTTCTCTCACCTGTAGCACTTTGTCCAAAGGTAAAAGCAGGCTTTGGGGGCTCTGTCGATGTTTCACTCTTGTCTGCTGGCTTGCCGAAACTGAAAGCAGGTGGAGGTTGTTCTGTTGCAGCGCTGGGCTTGCTGAAGGAAAATCCTCCTGAAGCAGCCGGTGCAGCATCGGCATCTTTACCAGCAGAACCGAAGAGGTCGGACTCTATGCACTCTGAAAGGAACGCAGGTTCTCCTTGTGGTGTGGTGGTTGCCAAACTTGGTTTGCCCAATCTCCCAAATACAGAGCCAGTGGTGGTAGTAGTGGTGGTGGAGTTGGTGTTTGTCGATGTGGTGTCATTCGATGATGCCACGCTGTCACTCTTCTCTTGAGAGGAAACAGGAGGAGTGAAACTAACAGAGGATAAGGTGGTGGTGGTGTCTGATGTTTTCTCTTCAGGTTTTGACAGTCCAAAGGTGAAGCCGCCCTTAGAGGCATTACTTTCTGTGTTAGATGATCCAGTTCCAAACATTATCCCACCACTGGCTCCAAACTTAAACCCAGAACCTGCAGCAGGTTGGTCTGACTTTTTGTCATCACTAGTAGCAGCCCCAAATTTAAAGCCCTCAGATGAGCTGCCAAATTTGAACCCTGAAGAGGCAGCAGTGTCTTTAGAAGTGGTTTCTGATGAGGAGCCTCCAAACGGGACTCCAAATTTGAATCCACCTGACGAAGAAGAGGAGGAGGACTCTGTCAATGAACCTCCAAACTTGAAACCTCCCGAGGTACTGTCTGATGTGCCAAACTTAAAACCTCCAGAACTAGAGGTAGAAGAGCCTGTGGTCCCACCAGCTGATGAACCAAAAGACGAACCAAAAGCTGAAGACAAATAGAAAAATAAATAAAGAAATCAAAAAAGGTGAAAGGTGTGGATTAGGTGCAGAATACCTCTAAATACTACACATCATAAAACACACAATGTCCCCCACAATACTCACTGCTCTGACAGTCTTGATTTACACAAAACTCTTACAAAAAAAATATTCGTTACCTTTGGGCTCCACATTAGCTCCAGGTTTGGCTGCTTGACAGGCAACACACTGTAGATCAGCAGCCTTATTCTGTAAAAGACAGACATCACAATCCCAGGCACCTTCTGGCTTCTTGAACGCATCTCCCAACGCAAAAACTGGAGCACTGCTGACTGAAGAAGAGACTCCTGCTGATGCTCCTGTTGTGAGAACAAGGATAGAAAGATTATTTTTAAATAAAATACCGTTTAGTTAATGACACATTGAGCCACAAAAAACAAAAACTACATTCAGCACTTTGTAGAATATCAAATAGCAATATTACCAGGTTGTCATTACCTGGTTTAGCACTCATGCAGGCCACACACTTTGTGTCCTCTGCCTTGTTTACTACCATACACGTATCACATTCCCATGCACCCTCAGGTTTTTTGAACTTGTCTCCAATTCCAGTCAACCCAGTAGAAATGGGGGCTGTGGGGGGGGATACAGTCTTAACAGCCGAGAAGGCAGAAGGAAGAGTCAGTGACGGTTTGAGTCCAGTTCCCGGTTTGGCCGTTTCGCAGGCAACACATTTTACTGCATCAGGTTTGTTTCGAACAAGACATGTATCACAGTCCCAAGCTCCTGCAGGTTTGGTAAACATTGTGCCAAAACCTGTGGTGGTTGTAGTGGTGGAGGTGGTGTTCGTGCTGCTCTCTAGCTCAACCGAGGTGGTCAAAGGTTTACTGTCTATAGATTTGGATAAGGAGGAACTGGGCTGTGGGGTCATACAGCACACACACTTGGTGTCTGATAGCTTGTTCTCGACCAAGCACACATCACAGCTCCAGCCTGGTGGGGCTTTGAACAAATCTCCAAACCCTGTTGAAGAAGAAAGGGAGGAGGTGGCTGTGGTGGTGGAGGTGGAGGGAGTAGTGGACTGTGTGGAGGTCTGTTGCGGAGTGTTGTCTGGGCCTGGGGAAGTCCGAGCAACGGGAGAGGCAAAGCCTAGACATAACAAGGAAAGGATTAAAACAGTGATCAACCATGTAAACCACAACACTGCAGATGTGTAATGAGTTCTGATTCTAACCAGGTGCTTTGAGAAGATCCAGCACACTGCCCTGCTTCAGGGTCTTGGCTGGCTTGAATGGTCCTTCAAAATCTTCTGTGCTTTTGCTTGTTGCAGGCTTTGCTGTAGAAAACATGAAACACACAAAGATTAAACTTGAGTTACAGAACAGAATATACATCGATCATACTAGTTGTAAGAAAACTCTCTTACCTGTTGCCGCTATTGGAGTGGCCAGCTTCCCGTTTGACATGGAGGGACCTAACTTTGCTACAGGGGCACTAAAAGTGAATCCAGCCTACAAAAAGAAATAGCAAATAATAAATATTAATTAGTATTACTTTTGTTAATAGCCATCTATCTAATTAATTATGAATCATTAAGAGACAAACTGTTTACTTACTGAGGGGGAAAATGAAGGGGGACTAGCAGCAGTTGCTTTGACAATAGGAGAGGAAAATGTAAAAGGTACACAGGGAGGTGTTGAGGCCATTAATGGCTCCTGGAAAAAAAACAAAACACAAAAATTAGCAACATGCATTAACAATGTTGTAATGTTGCAGTGGAACAAACAATTTTAATACAGACCTTATTTGTGACTGTTTCCTTAACGGGGGTCACAGGTGTGACATTGGGGGCGTTGCTGATGGTGGTGAGAGGTGGAAGAGGGGAGGTGAAGCTGAAGGTGGGCAAGGCAGAGGTGCTGATGGGAAGTGAAATTGTTGGAAGGTCTGGTACCTCAGCCACCTGAAGTAAGAAAATAAGCTTGAGTGTGTGCTCAACTTTTATAGTGAGAAATGCAAACAATTAGATGCTTCGGCCATTTCTGGCTATTATCTCTCAGACTGATGATGAATCGAGATAAACCCATTTAATATCAATATGAATACATCAAAGCAGATACCCTGATCTGGAATCCTGACTGTTCTCCTGTTTTTACCAATAAATAGTGGAAAATTAATTAAAAGTTAATTTGATGCGAAGCCCTTACCTCGTCCTCCTCAGGGCGTTTAGAGGAAGGCCGTGCAGTGGTCCTCTCTCTCTTCATCTTGCCCCCTCCAGAGCTCACGCTGCTGGCTACAGGCGTGCTGGACAGAGGATAGACTGGGACACTGGAGCCCATTGTGCTAGAGAGGTAGACAGTAAAAGGTATAGTAAGTAAAACAAACTAAACATACAGAGAACAATAACTAGGAAGGTTGTGATTAGGTTATACTGCTTTTCTTTGTTAATTGGAAGAAGTTGCTTGAAACTTTTAAGTAACGGAACAACAAAGTGCTGTTGAGTTGTTAACATTGAACGTAATTATTGGAAAAGCCAGTTATTAACTCATGCTTTTGAGTTTCTCACAGATGGTATCATCTGTAATGAATTGTGGCCTAATCCAATTGCCTGACCAATCAGAGCGTCCCTGTTTTTACCTTTGAGATGGACCTGGGGTTGCTTCAGGTAGATGCGGTGATTGTCTTGTGGGCTAAGGGAACAAAAGAGCAACAAATTTAGTATGTATTAAACTCCATTTGTTTGCAATCAATACACAGGAACAATGTTGTGGTGTAAACATAATGCAGCACTGTGTTTCTCACCATCTCTCTTGGGGTCCTGTCCAGAGGTCGGCTTATTCCTCCAGGAGTCAGAGTAGGCCTGAAGGACACAGAGCGGTTTCCTGACACAGACGCTGCAGCGGGAACCACCAGCTTCTGCACCGGTGGGAGGGTAGAATCCATCTGAATTTAAGAAGTGGTGGTAAAATGTAAACACAAGATAAGAATCAGAACGAATGAAGGCTGCTGTGCTTCATTCTTTGTCTAAAACTGTATGATATAACTAATGCCTCTATGCCACTAAACTCAGTGGGTATATAAATACTATTAAAAACACATGACAAAGCCATATCATTGCATTTATGTAGCATATTATTCAATATAATGAACATTGGTTGAGCAGAAGGGTTGGGAAATTGGATGAATATATTTGCTGATATAACTGTCGCCGGTTGTCTTTTTTGGCCGATTTTTGTCCGTTATTTTGCCAAATTTAATGGTCTGCCTCCAAAGAACGAGAGCCATTGAGTGGCTCAGTACACACACTGAACGCAACACACACACACATGCGTGAATATATCGGCAATTGTCGATTTTTGGACTGACGGTGGCCAGTTAGAAAATTTTAACATATCGCCCAACCCTACTGAACAGTTGATTCCTCTCAACTCAAACATGAAATCGTGTCCTAAAACATGAACAGTAACGTCTCTAGGGATCTGCAGAATTGTATTAGAACAAACTACACAGACTATGTTTGTTGTACATATCATCAGGCTGCTCACACACACACACACACAGTGGTTGAAGCAAGATAAATTCTTCTTTTGGACTAGGGATGAACTGATATATCAGTGATGTTAACTAAATAAGGTATTGAATCATTTAGGGCTTTAAGGGCTCAGTATCAACATTGTTTATGTTATTTTAATCAGCTGATACATGATTATCTTAAGCATCAATATCAATATTGGCCTTAAAAATCTATTAGTGGTCAGACTATATTTTGGACTCCGTAAAGGTAAAACACCAAAGAAAGTACAAAAGGCCCAGTTAGATAGTGAGCTTCAATACACCATTGTTGGGGTAGCAGCTGGGAATGTCTGACAGTTATTACTGAGAGCAGGTCCAGTCCAGAGCTGGCACAATTTAACAATGGACTACACTTCACACATACACACACTTCCATGAGCCAAATACATCATGGAGTCTAGCACATTTTTGCTCTTAAACACTTGCACGTACATGCATGCATGTACAAAGAAAACCTCACACACACAGAGTTGTGAACAGCTGTGTCCCAGCCGAGGAGAATCCTGCTGGCGTAAAGGAGGCCAACAGACAGTAGGACAGGAAATGACAGGAGGACAAACCACAACAAGTGCTGCTGGGTCTGTACAATGACATCCCTGTTCACATCACTAAAACTTGTGCTAAGCTGCAAACACACTGGACAGAAAACACAAGTGAAGTTTGTTTGCTGATAAAGCTTAAGTCATTCGGGGACATAAAGTAAAGTTGGATAGCTACACATAAACACATTTATTGACAAAATAAACATGAGAGGATATTGTCACAAGAACGTAAGAATCTGTACTTACTCGTTTCTTTTTCGACTGGAAATGTGAAACATCTAGATTTGTACCATCCATTGACTGAAAAGAAAAAACTCATGTGAGAAAAGTGTCTTTTGTTGTTAGACAAAATCAATAAGATGTTTTGAGGTCAGTGTTTCATGATTTGAACATTTTACAGATACTAGTCAGTAGAGAATATTTCCATGCTTTTCTGGTCACACACAGCGCCTTACTGTAAAATATTCCACTGCAAACAATGCTCACAATTTACATAAATATATTAAAAGTTCTTACTGGTGACAGGGGGGATGACGCTGCTGCTGGGATTCTCCTGGCATCCTGTAGAAGAAAAGTCAGAATTCAGTCATTTTTGGATAAATATAATTATAAAACAACAACACTATTGCCAAGTCTAACCACTGTCAGATTAAATACAGTTTGTACAGGGGAAGTGATGGCTGTTGGATTGTGTGTACTTACAGCCAGAGGGCTCGACATGCGCTCCAAGGACTGCAGGATGCGTCTGGCTGTGGCGCTGGTCACCCCACAGGGCTGAGCACCTGCAGGTTTGGCCTTGATCTGTCTCCTCACCGGGGCCTACAGATCAGATTAGCTCATTTAGACTCCATATGATGCCAGTGTCAGAAATGAACTGAGTGTTCACCGTGTGAAATGATTTATACAATTTCAACATTTGGCTCTTGATACAGGAGTCTCAGTTTCAAGCCTATATGGTCTTCACTAGCTCACCTGGTACGGTGTTCCAGGACGAGTGCGAGCACTCCTGACTGCAGCAGCACCACCGTACGTGGTCTTCCCGGGGTAGAAGGGTGAATCTCCAAGCTGGCTGGAGTTTAGCATTGTGTTGTTGAATGTGGACTAGAAGAAAGAAGGTTAAATTAAAAGTTACACTAGGGTTATGTTAAATGACTATTATATTGCTAATCAACGGTGTTCCCAGGCATAAACTTGTTTTTTTGTAATGCATGAAATAAAGGAAAACAGGCTCAAGCAGAAAACAAAACAGTGTCATGAGTGAAACTGCAAACATATCCTTTCTATTTGCAATAATTTGCATCAATATCTCAACATCTTTACCCCTAAAAATCCAGCTTTTTTTCTATGATGTAAATATATCACCATGCAGTGGGGTTTAATATTAAAAAAGTATGTGTTGTGATGTTTAATGTCAGACTTGTTTTTGTCACTTTGAAGTGTGTTTTAATAATTTTAATACTTAACTCAGTCACAATGAACAATAAAGTAGTGAGTTGTCTAGACTGTGTTGCTGTGATGTCTGGCAATCTGCCATGCACTAAAAGAAATGTACAGCATATTGATCACAGTATGGCTGTGAGCAGAGTGATTTTAACATTGATTTCCCAGATATGTGTCAATAAATAATGAAGATAAGTCAGTGCAAAATTTGTAGATGTCTGTGGTACACATGACTAAAAAGAATTTGGTGCACTGACCAAATTCCATTTAGTGTCGAAGTGGGTCACTGCTCCAACAGCACAGCCCTAGATACAACCCTGACGCACCAAAATGCAGAGCTTTGTGGCACAGAACTCTAACTCTAACATGACATGCTGACAGACTCTGTATCGAAATAGGCAGACACACAGATACTCACATTGGAGGAAGTTCCAAATACAGACAGGTTGAAAGCAGGCCTTTTCAGACTGGACTGGGCAGGCTGAGGCCCAGAGTTTGTTCTGTCTGTCTCTGGAGACCAAAGTTGGGGTAGTGAGGCCGTTTTGGAAGTGGGGACATCTGTAAAAGAGGCGAAAAGGGGAGATTTGTAACCAATGCAGAAATCTGATTTAATGGCCTAGTCTCTGCATGAAAAATATAGTCACCTACACTAACCTCTATCTGCTGCTACATTATTAGTTTGATTTAAAAAACATTCCTTTCATCTAAAAACTGCTATTCAGGCTAACAAAGAAAAGAATCCAGATCATCACACAAGAAAAGTGTGTTGGTTTCCATCGTCTTTGTAGTTTTACACATTTAAATAAACAGCAGAATGAGCAGTGCAGATGTGTCCAATCACATGCCAAGTACAGTCAACAACCTGCCCTCAGCAGGTGATTTCTCCCTACAACAGGGGATTCCCCCACTACATGAAGGTGTGCCAATCAGTGGGTGGAGCCTTTGGAAACCTGTGGACTGTCGGCCCCCCAGATTAGTGAATGATGCATAATAGCTGGTCAAGTGTATTTTCACTTGTTACACATTTTACTTTTCCATCTGCAAATTCAAAAATATTCAAAACTGAATTCAAAACAATATTTTGCACCATGCATAAACCATCTATTGGACGCCAATGAAAAAGAGATTTAGAAAAAAATGATGATGAAAAAATAAACAATATTTGTTGATCCAAAGAACTCTAAAGTGTTAAATCTACTTCATCCCGTCCAAATAAATTACTGAGAACATTCATTTTTTACTTGAGAGCACTTGTTTACACACATTTACAAGCTGAGTCACATCGCAAATCTCTGGACACTTTGCCAACTGGACTGTAGTTTGAACATCAGTTCAATCACCTCAATACCACCCACTTCTTTATGATTTGGAATATCAACCTATGGTGTAATTATATCTACAAAAAAGCCCACACTATAAAAAGACACCCAAACACACATCTCCTAATACACAGAAAATGTGTTTGCTTAAATGCCCTTTACCTTTATCAGAGGCGCGTGAGGAGAAGCCGCTAGTGGTGGAGATGTTATCATCTTCATGCTGCGAGAGGTTGTCCTTGATTTCTTTGACCAAGGAGAAGCCCGTGGAAAAAGGCCCAGGGGCCGAGGAGGTGGAGGGCAGAGAGAAGAGGCTGCTGGAAGCCCCCAGGGTCGGGGAGGAGGCATCAAGAGGGGGAAAGTGGAGGTGGGAGCGACTCAGAGGAGGTCGAGAAAGCACAGTGTCCTGAAAGTTCAGGGATGCCCGGCTGGTTGAGGGCTCTGTGCAAGAGAAGAAAGAAGCCAGAGGTGAGCATCATCATGTATGGAAGTAGCTAGCGAGACTTGTTGATGACCTACGAGAGTGACTGAGTCCCTCACCTGTGTTACTGGTGCTCGGCTCCGGGGAGTCGCGTCCATCAAGGGGAGGCGGCCCCTCTTCGCTGCCATTAGGAGGAGGCGGCGGCAGCTGGCAGTTCTGCTCTGTCCCCAGTACAGCACCTCCTCCTTCAGGAGCATCTTCATTCTTGAAGTATTTCTGCAGCCAGGAGGGAACGATGCTCTTCACTGTGTCTGTCACTCGACTGATAAGGCCTGACTGCTGCTGACAAAAACATGAGAGGAAGCCGTGAACAGAGGGATAAAATGTGTGAGAGGCAGAGACAAACACGTAAAGAAAAAAACAAAGACCCATTAACGCAGGCCATTATTTGTAGTCTCCTCATTAGAAAGTTCCCTTGACAATCAGCATGGGATAAAATGTAATGCATTTAAAATGCTGCTACATATGAAACGGTTCTACTGGATTTGGACTAGATTTTCAACTACTAACACAAATAACAAATAGGACGTGGGATTTAATGCAAAGCAACTCCACATAATTTGTGTCTTTTTCGAATAATATAAAACAGTTCCACTCTTTTCGTTTGCAAAATATAACAATCAACGCCGCATTTTATTATTTGAATCGGCTGCACAGACAGACTTGCAATGAGAAGCCATTTGTCCTCCCCAGTGCAGAGGAAAACACAAGCTCAGTATGACAGAAACTGGGTCAGGCCCTGTGTATGCTTCTCTGAAGCAGTGACGCCGGTCTGCACTGTACTGAGGTCTAGTAATGGATGTTCCAGTTGATAAGGATGAGTCTTGTATCCTACGCCACACTTAAGAGTAACACGATTAAAATATAGGAATTAAATATCAAGGAAGCTCTCTTATGTAAAATGTATAAACTGTAGCCACTGAGTGAATAATTGCCTCTCCATTTAGGGCACGCTGCAGGTCTTAACAGACTAACTGGAATATATCCACCATCTCTTGCAGACACATACAGACCGAATGCTCGAGGCCGGTTTCATGAATAATGGCCGCAGTGGATGGAGCAGTAAGGTCCACCAAGCCAGAGATTAAAAAAATGTAATCTGTGTATGTACTGAAGAACGGTGCTTGGTGCTTATTCCCTGTGTAAATACGGCCCGTTTTTATTCATAAAATTAGTTTTTAGCTCTTAGAGGAATGATGGAGGAGGTAAAGGTTGAGAAAAAGGGCTAACTAGCAGGTGCATCAAGAAATGAACACCGTCTAATCCGCGGTAGCCTTCAACTCCTGATAAGAGCAATATGTGCCTCTTACTTTCAGCCTATCTATGAAATACACCTGTGGGGCACTCTGCACTTTAACCCATGTGCAAATATACACAACTTTAACCAGTCATCACCACCACAGGGCTACTTTACTGAGCGCTACATAAGCTATTGTTATAAGGATTTAAGGGTGCCACATTTCTGCGACGCACAGGGTCATGTGACTAAGCGACCTGTGGTTGACTTATCTGGGAGGAGCTATCAGGTCGATCTAAAACACAGACTGAATATGCTGGAGTATCAGTGAATCTATCTTTTGAAGCCAAAAATAAACTTTAAATAAACACCTGTTTAGAACATTAAGTCAGGTGTACGGTTACATTTATGCCGTGTGAAGAGGTGAGCATTGACAAGAAAGACTCTCACATTTACGACTTGCAAATAATTTCTCAAGTTGTGAGATGAATTAAGACAGCAATGGCACAAATGTTACATGTCTCATCACGCTTCTGCTTTTTAACCAGCACTGTTGTGAAAACCAAGCTAAACCCATCTTTTAAAGGACAGCTTTACACAAGATGTGGATAATAATTGTTTTTGGCTGACTTTAGTCCAGACAGTTGTATGGACACATGAGCATTTAAAGATGTAATCATGACTCCCATGAGGACTGAGGCTCGACTGAGGCTCATATTTGCATTTATTCAAAATATTGTCACAAATTCATGTTTGTCTGTTATTATATTTGTTTGTTGCCACGAATGCATTCTTACACTTAAACTCTCTTCATTTCAACACTCAAACATGTGTCCATACAGGTAAAATCTAATGATCTGGTTGTTGAATTGGGATCAAAACTGAAACATGACAACATGATATTGATGCTACATGCCAAGCAAGCAGCATTTGTAGTATAAATTATACAACTATGCAGTGCATGCATGCTGAACTACTGCAGACACTGTCAAGCTCAGTATTTACTCAGCTCACAGTTTATTAGGTCAACTTAAAACGGCAAAGACTAATGCAGTGAACATCAGCCCTGCCCTCAATTATAATGTGCATAATGTTTTTTTCAAACTGTTTTAAAAAGGTGATGATTCAACTTACTGAGAGAATTCAAATTTAAAACAACGCAATCTTAAAATTGAGATTTAAGCTATAGATTATATCTATCTATCTATCTGCTAATGTATATATGCCATAGTATCGCATATGAGAACAAAGGGCCCGAGTGATAAGACATTATAGATGTGGTCGCCTTTCTCAACACTAAAGATGTGTTATCTTCTGTAGTTTGTTATTAAGGGAAAAGACTAAACAAGAAAACTATTAAAAGTGCAAATAGGGTGTGAAAAAATATTTCATTTTTAGGCAATATCGCCCAGCCCTAACTTGAATTGGTAATATTTGTTTGTCTAAGTCTCTGTATAATCACTATATCACTGTAGGTCAATAAGAACATATGTAACTCTATATGTTTGGCTAAATTGTGCATATAATGATAACTAATGTCAGTCATAAACAAGAACTATCCATCCAAATCTTGTTAACTGGTAAAATGTTAAATAAGTATATTTAATTGGTGGTCTCCTGGTCACAACGCTCAGCTGGTTTTATCTATCTATTTATCTTCAGACTGTCAAAGAAACTTGCTGGCATCATTTTTAAAGCGGGCTTTACGGTCCAGTCGCCTCTCCAGTCAGATATCACACCGGCAGGCTAACATTCATATAAACAAACTCATTTTTAGTTCACCAACATATTCTACGTGGCGACAAAACAGGTCAATGCCACGTATCAAAACACTTCTTGTCCACTGTTAACATCACAGGTCGCGTTTAAAGCCAACACCGGCTGCTGTAGAGGCGGTAGGTGAATCAACCATGTGGGTTTCCAATCAGCCAAAGCTTCCTGCGCAATCCCACTGCCTGAGACTGAGCTAACGTTAGCGAGCATCCCCAATGATTTCCGACAGGCCACAAAAACAATCTTAAAATGTAAAGTGCACGAAAGGCAGCCACCTATAGCTGTGCACAGGCGCACATTTGGAGCCCAAACGACCGTGCTCACGATCGCTCGGCGACGGTGTGACGCCCACCAACTTGAAGAAGAGAAAGACAACAAATGCGTGGTTGCCTGTGTTAGCCTGTTAGCTCACCCAGCTACTAAACGCTAACAACCTGCTACCAGAGCTAAAGCTGATCGTCTCAACGTGCCCGGCGTGCTCCCGTACGTCACCAAATACTGGTTAACAAGTCTAAACGAGCCCCTGTGCCCTGATTTAACTGTCAAGTCCGGCTCTTTTTGCTAACCTTTGAGCCAGTTTGCTAATTAAGTAGCATTTCCTGGACATGCTAGCAGCGCGTGGAGGCCACGAGCGCTAACGGCAGGCCACAAAATGTCTCCAACAAAACAAAAACAAGAGCTGAGAGATAGTGGCGCAACAACTCACGCAACGTCCTCCACACGGGCTTTTAACGCGAGGGCTTTGACTCCGTTTACCTGTTTGCTCTTGGCGTAAGGTTTAGAGGCGATGTGATATCTCCTGCTTCTGATTTTCCCTCCACCCGTGGCCGCCATGGCTCTCTCGTCTGAGTGTCTGTCGGCGTTTCGGCGCCGGATAGCTGTCATCCAGCACAGCGGCAGAACTCACCGAGGAATTGTGGGAAATGTAGTAGCTGAACGTAACAAAGAGGCAGGGTTTTGTTTTTTGTTTTTTGTTTTTACCGCCTGACCTGGTTGTAACATGGGGTTATTTTATGTCCTGTGACTGTAATGTATTGTATTCGCTATGTGTTTTAAATGAAGTTGAATTTATGTTAAGCGTAATTTATCATTTTAGTAAACTGTAGCTCAGGCTATTGCTAAATTAATCACAGTCAACCCAGTTTCTTTGGGTTTTATATTGTTGGTCGGAGAAAACAGGATTTTTTTTAGCTCTGAAAAACGTATTGATTAACTGGTTAATTAATAAAATCGTTAGATAAAACAATAATGGAAATTATAATTAGTTGCAGCACTATAATTTCCCTTTCAAGATTCAAGATTCAATAAGCTTTATTTAT